CTACAAAACAGGGTGTGCCCAGCACTGTCAGAGAAGGGTAAACAAAGTCTGGCAGCAGCAAAATTCCCAGAGAAATGATATCGAGCCCTTCTGGCTTGGAGGAGAGGGAGCCTGTGCGTACGTAGGCTGCGCCACTCACCAGCGGTGGGACCTGGGGCGAGTTGCCTGATCGCTCTGTGCCTCAGTGGCCTCCCCTGCGAAACAGAAGAGTGAAATAAGTCATTCATTTAAAGAGGTCAGAGCGGTGCCCGGCACACACAAAGGCTGGGTAAGCGCTTGCTAATATTATTATAATGACAGAGTCTTGAACCATGAGCAGGATTTGGCTGGTCTGAAGGGCCCCTACATGGCCTCCAGAGAGGCTGGCACAGAATGGCAGAGGGATGGGCAGCCAGGGTGACACCACAGGCCCTCAGGACAGGCTGGGGTGGAGATGGTTGGGGTCCACGAGGAAGGGAGGCGGTACTCCCTGGCCAGGCCCTGAGGACTCAGGTGTCCTCCTCAGCCTTCGGCGGCAGGTGCCACCTGACTGCTGCAGCCCCAGAAGCTGCCCCTCCCCGCCGCCAGCCCACTCCAGCATGCAGAGTCCCGAGGTTGCTCCCCAAGTGAGGACATCCCTCCACCTCCTCTTCCCAGGCTCCCCTCTTGGGAACTCATGAACCTTCGGACCTGGGCTGGGCTGGGCTTGGCCCAGCTGGCGTTGACTTTGGCTCAGGGGTTGGGTTTCCTGAGCAAATCTAAGGACTGGCAGGATTGCAAAGAGACAATTAAGCCTCCCTCAAGGGAGGGGGTCCAGAGTAGTCTGAGTCCTCCAGGGGCACTCAGCTCCTGAACGGGCAAAAGCGTGGCATTTGCATCTGCCTATTAAAGCGGACCCTTAAGGATCCCACTGAGCCCCCTTCCCCGGCCAGGCTCTGCAAGGCGAATAGCTACATGGCACAGAACACAGTCTGGGCCCAGTTTTCTACAAACTCGCTCTCTGACGACACCCCCATCGTCACAATTCACAACCTGAGTTTTGCTGCCCAGGGTTGCTGAGCACCTAAGCCCAAGAGCTAGCTGTACCCCAATATACTCATCGGCCCAACATCTTGTTTTTATAACAGACATTTTCTAATGCCTCCTTTACTGCCATAAAATGAAATTCAGGACACACACGCATTCACTTTTATAAAAAATGATGTTCTAGCCGTAATGTGAAAGAATAATTAAAAGGCAAGTAATTTCTAATAAAATACCATATACATGTTTGGGCATGATTGCACTAAAAGAAGACGTAGTCCGTAGGTTGTACCTATAAATATAAATTCCGGGAATGTGAGACTATAAATGTAGATCGACGTGTGCGGGTGGTTGTATCAGTGACTCAGATATTACAGGCAGCTCTGCTGTAGGTAACATGATTTTCCAAAACATTGAACAACTCTCAGTAAAGTTCTGAACAAAACAAAGCACCGTCTTGGCTCCCTTTACCCCGTGGTTGCATTCCTGGAAAACTCCATGTATGTCAAACCTGTGCAGTAACTCCCTTGTGTTTGTGAAATGAGTAAGAGTCCAGGCGGTGGTCATTGCAGAAGGTTTTCATCTACACAAAGTTGCAGTGGCTCATCTGAAAGCCATGCAGAACGTGTGACAGTTCGTCACCGTGCAGGACCAGCCAAGTGGCCTGCCTGGCATCCCTGGTGCCTGCCCATCAAATGCCAGGCGAGGGGACCCCCAATTGCTGCCACAGATAAAACCCCCACCAGTGTTCAAAACACCCCCAGGGGTGCTCCATCGCTCAATGAGGACCAAGGAGTGATAGTCGTGTCTTCTCTCCCTGCCTCCCTGCCAAGATAGGCCCAGTGTCGCCATGGCAGGGCTGTGCCTGAGTCTCAGGTGGGAGCCTGGTGGCAAGAAGAAGAGTGGGTGCCTTTGGGCTCAGGCGCTATGGCCGGAGGCTCCTAGTGACCACGCTGATCCCTGTGTCCTCTGCCTTCACCCCATAGGCTGCAGCAAGATGTGGGACAACCTCACCTGCTGGCCAGCCACCCCTCAGGGCCAGGTGGTCGTGTTGGCCTGCCCCCCCATCTTCAGGCTCTTCGCCCCCATTCAAGGTAGGAGCCCCGGGTTGCAGGGAGGGAGCTGGGGTGATGGGGCCAGCTGGGCCGGCTGGAATGGGGACTCACCTCTCAAGGAGGAGGGAAGGCAAAGGAAAGTGGCCAAAGGGGCTGCAGCCTGGGGGGCTCCCTGGCAGAGACGGCCATGGCTCTGGGTCTCTGAAGGACTCATGGGATTTGATTAGCTCTTCACATAGAGATAAGCACGTGGGAAAGGCTCACTAAATATTTGCTCAACAATTGATAACTGATTGACTGACAGGCGCTTGATTACATTATGGCTCCCATGTGCCTGTTGCCTTGGGCTGGTCATGATTCAGTCTTTGGCTCGAGAAGCCGCAGCACGGCTTTGCCTGCACACGCCGCCACGTCCTGCTCAAGTGAATGTTCACATACGAGGCAGAAAAGGAAAGGGGGAGCCCCTTCAGGAAGTGGGCTTTCTTGCCACTAGGCCTTAAAGAGGCTTATGACACATACTCAGGCATTCTGTCACGCAGCGGGTGAATAGCCCTGGAGTGCCAGGCCCTGGGCTGCACAAGCACAGCAGGGAGGGGGCTCCACAGCCCCCAGGCTGCTCTTTCAGGGCTAACGTTCTAGTTGGAGAGATGCTTAATGAGAAAACAAACAGATGCACCCTAAATAATAAGGGCTGGGGGAGAGAGAAAGGAGGGCAGAACGATGGAAGGCCGGTGTTCATGGACACCTCTGAGGAGGTGACAGACACCTCGGGTGCCGTCCAAAGACCTGGAGGTAAGAAGGAGCCACCAGGCAAGGATCCTGGGCAGGGGACAATTGAGAGAGAGAACCCACAGCACGTGGAACAAGCATTCAGGGAACTCCAGGGGGGGCCAGTGTGGCTGAGGCGGAGGGGAGAGACGGGGGCGGGGACGGGGACCAGGCCATGCAGGGCCTTCCGGACTGAGACGAGGACTTGGGTTGTTTCCTAAGTCCAGTGAGAAGCCTCTGGCGGGTTTTAGGCAGGAAACTGACACAGTCCGATTTAGGTTTTTAACTGATAGCTCTAGTTTCTGTGAGAAGGAAAGGTTCTAGGAGTGGAAATGGGAAACCCAATCACAAGGCAGGTGAGCAAGGATGATGGTTTGCATTCTGGTAGAGAGCATGGTGGAGGCGAAAAGTGGGAGATTTGTCTATGGAGGGCTTGGGGGTGCGCGAGGGGGAGGGAGGAATCAAGTGTGCCCCCCTCCCAGGTCTAGGTTTAATGAGCTGGAGGGGAAGAAAGAGCTGGATTGGGTGGGAAGGACTGAGGGAGGAGTAGGTCTGGGCAGGGAAGACTGAGGGGGGAGCAGGTCTGGGTAGGGAGGACTGAGGGAGGAGCAGGTCTGGGTAGGGAGGACTGAGGGAGGAGCAGGTCTGGGTAGGGAGGACCGAGGGAGGAGGAGGACTAGGTCAGAAAGACTGAAGGAGGAGCAGTCCTGGGTGGGGAGGACTGAGTGAGGAGCAGGTCTGGGTAAGGAGGACTGAGGGAGGAGGAGGACTAGGTCAGAAAGACTGAAGGAGGAGCAGTTCTGGGTGGGGAGGACTGAGGGAGGAGCAGGTCTGGGTAGGGAGGACTGAGGGAGGAGCAGGTCTGGGTAGGGAGGACTGAGGGAGGAGGAGGACTAGGTCAGAAAGACTGAAGGAGGAGCAGTTCTGGGTGGGGAGGACTGAGGGAGGAGCAGGTCTGGGTAGGGAGGACTGAGGGAGGAGGAGGACTAGGTCAGAAAGACTGAAGGAGGAGCAGTTCTGGGTGGGGAGGACTGAGGGAGGAGTACATCTGAGTAGGGAAGACTCATGAGGAGCAGGCCCTAGATAAGGATTCAAGGGATGAGCAGAAAGACTAGAGTGTCTCTCACTCCAGGCAGCCTTTCCTCCCTGGACCCCACTCTCTCTGTTTGTACAGTGGTGGTGGGAGGTGGACCAAATGGTCTCTTTGGGATGAGTCAGTTATCTCCCCCCCCCCCCAGTGCTTGGTATTGTGGCCTCACTGGTGGAGGACCGACCTCAAAGCCTTCCTGAGGAGTCTGGGAACAGTCACAGCCGTGCCTCGGTCCAGGCCAGCACCCACCCTCCACCAGGGGGGCCCAGTGCCTGGGCAGGTCAGGGAGGAGCTCCCCTGGCAGGTCTCACAGCACAGGCTATCAGCAGAGCCTGGGGACCAGCCTTCTCTCAGATCCCTGGAAGCACCTGCGAATTGCCTTCCTCCCTGGTACTCTGCTAATTGCATTCCCTCCCAACGTTCCTCCTTCTGTCCCTGCTGGAATGTGTCAAGGCAGCTCCCTCACTTGAGAACCTGGACTCCCGCCCACGGTTTGGCCAACCCTGGGGCTGCCAGCATCAGTGGGGTCCACACGGTGCCTTCATACAGATGAGAGAAAGGCAGCCCTTCCTCAGGAGGAACCAACCTCTCCCTGGAGCCCACAGCACATAATGGCAAGCTGAATATGAAGTAGATTTTCGCCCCCATGGCCATCAGCCAGATGCCCTTGTGCAGTGAACAGCCTACACAGCTATACTTGGTGGGCCTAGTCTCTGAAAATGGTGGAGAGAAACAGGAGACTATGATTAGGGTTTAAAAATATAGAGGCAAGAGGGTGTTTTCCTGAGTAACTACTAATAGATGAAGAAGGTCTGAGCAACTGACCTTAAATTCCAAAGAGGGAAGTTTGCAAGTGTAGGGTAGGATGATGCCCATCCCGACTCCCACGTCTTTGGATAACAGGACTGGGGAAGGAGTGTCCCCCCAGGAAAAGACCTGGTTCTACAGGGAAAGCTGAGGAAAGCTTATAGATGATAAAAATCATGGGGTGTTAGAAAGAAGTCATCTACTCGGGCTGGATGAAACTCCTGGAGGAGGTGGCCCGGCCAGGCAAGGGAACATTCATGAAGGCACCAGAACATTCGTGGTGGCTTGCTTCTTTAATTTGTAGTCTGCAGATCTTCTGTCTGTGGTGTTTTTACCTTCAAATATTTAGAGAGACATTTTTTTGTTGTCGTTACTCATACCTGCAGTGAGAGCGTATAAAGAGAGTTTTTTTTAGAATAAAAAGTAGGATGGCTATTTTGGTTGAGAAAACTCAATAGACATCTATTCTCACCATGTCTGTGGAGTCTATGCCTAGGACACCTCCGCTCCCCGCCACCTGCGTCACGATGCCACGGATAAGGAAGTCTTGGTGTCAACCAAGAAGCTTGCCCTTGCTTGCTGGGATGGGGCGCGTGGGAGGAGTTTCAGCAGGAGAGCTCTGTGGTCAGGTCTGGGTGCTAGAACTATCCTCCCAGCTGCTTGGGGGGCGGGGGTAGGAAAGCAGGGAGAACCATCCGGAGGCTCCTACCTAACACAGGGGAAATGAGATGGTGGTGGTGTTGAGGGAAGAGGGGCTGGGACGGGACTGGTGACGGATGGGGCAGAGGGGAAGGCAGTGGGGAGGGGATGACCCCCCCAATTTCTGGCTCCAGTCACTGAGTGGTGCTTTTCAGGAGGTGGAGAAGCCCAGGGAGGAGCAGGGGCCGTGACTGCTCTTTGAGACACAGTGAGTGGGAGGAGACTGGGAGAATGGAGGCGTCCCTCCCAGCACGGGGTTAAAGTCCCTTGCCACCTCCCTCCTGCCCTCCATCTCCCCTCCCCAGACACAGGGCCTGCAGGTTCCCAGGCCCAGCCTGGAGAGAAACTCTTGGCTGCTTCTCAGAGTCCCGTGGTGGCAGCCTTTGAGATCTCCTTGACAGCAGCTCACTTTGAGGCTTGGACCACAGTCCCAGGGATTTTCCAAGAGGCCATCTAGCCCTGAAGATGACCCTCTATCCCCTCCTCTGCCCCACCATCTACGGCAGCCAGGGCTCCAAGGCTGCCGCTTTGGCCACTGCTGGGAGCCCAGGAAGATCTGGAGTCTTGGTCTGCATCCCAGGCCTGCTGCCTCCTCTCTGAGACCACGGGCAAGTCACCGCATTTCTCCTAGCCTGGGGATCCCCAGCTGTCAGTGGGACTAATGACAGCTCCTGCTCCCTAGCCTTAAAATATTGATGTTTACCCTGCCACCCCACTCACACACTCACACGCACACACAGCGTGTGAAGCTGCCGTGTAGGTTGTGTAGGTGTGATGAGTCACAGCAGTTATGCTGCTGGTGCAATTCATGATAGCAGGTGCTCGCTTTGTCACGGTGCCTGGCCTCATGGAGCCCTGGTCCCTCTGGAGAATAGGGAGCCCAGAGCTTTAGAGGCCCAGCTTCAAGGTCGGTTGATCTGGGCCTTATCCCTCCTTGAGCCTGGTGGGGGGAAGTCTCCAAAAGAATCAGATCCTGGGGGGAGGAGGGGATGGGTATATACATACATAGTGAGTGTGATGCGCACCATCTGGGGGATGGACACATTTGAAGCTCTGCCTCGAGGGGGGAGGGGAGACAAGGCCAATGTATGTAACCTTAATGATTGTACCCCCATAATATTCTGAAATAAAAAAAAAGGCCGGGCGCGGTGGCTCACGCCTGTAATCCTAGCACTCTGGGAGGTCAAGGCGGGCGGATCGCTTGAGGTCAGGAGTTCGAAGCCAGCCTGAGCAAGAGTGAGACCCCATCTCTACTATAAATAGAAAGAAATTAATTGCCAATTAATATATTTAGAAAAAATTAGCTGAGCATGGTGGCACATGCCTGTAGTCCCAGCTACTTGGGAGGCTGAGGCAGGAGGATCACTTGAGCCCAGGAGTTTGAGGTTGCTGTGAGCTAGGCTGATGCCACGGCACTCACTCTAGCCTGGGCAACAAAGCGAGACTCTGTCTAAAAAAAAAAAAAAAAAAAAAATCAGATCCCGGGTGGAGCTGTGGCCTCAGAGCCTATACGACCTCCTGAGAGCTGAGGCCAGGGCCAGGCCTGCAGTTTGAAGAGGGGTTGGACTGAGGGCTCCAGGCCAGGCCCACCTCAGACTGCAACAGCGGGAAGCCAGGGGGGCTGGGTCGGGGCAGCTGAAGATCTTTGTCCTCACCTCGGAGCCTCTTGCAGCATCATGGTTGGGAATCCCAGGCAGAAAAGGGGCTGCCAAGGCAGGAAATGCCCAGCCCAATTCCCTTTCCTCAGCAAGGTCCTTCCTGCCCTCCCCGGGCCATGCAGTGGAGATAGAGCCAGCCCCGGGCTGCTCTTTCCTGGCTGTCCGCTCCCAGCCCCAGCCATCCCTCAGTTCATCGTCCACAAAGTAGGAGAACAAGACCTCTTTCAAAGCGTTGCCAGGAGGATTTACAGAAACAGTGAACATGGAACCATCGGGTATATTCCTGGCACACTGCGAAGTTTGGAAATATCAAACACACGTGCACAGTGACCCTCCCTGAGCTCAAGGGACAGCTTGACCCCTCCCAAAGCTCTGCACCTGGACACGGAAGTAAGTCCTCAGGTCACCTAAGTGCAGGCGAGGCCAAGCTTACCTGGGAAGACTCTGGAGACCAGACCAGCTCTATTTTTTTGTCCTCTCTGTGTGGCCTGGGGCAAGTGACCCACCTCTTGGGACCTCCACTTCTCAGCTGTGAAATGCACTTACCTTCTTTATGGGATGGTCGAGGGGATTGACGAGGATGTGCCTAAAGTGCTCTGTGCAGCACTGACACGTGACAAGTTCTCAAAAGTTGTCGCAATGAAGGTGACGATGGTGGTGACAGTGCTGGTGATGAATGAGTACTGAGACATGGGAGGGAGATTACTCTCTGGCTCACCCCTTGCCTATTCAACCCCTCCCCTCCCTCAGGGAACAGGACACTCCTGGGGGCTGGAGAGTGGGGAGCCTTGCTGGTACCCCTCCCCCACGTGCCCTCTGAGTGGTCCTGTCCCTTTAAGTGGCCTTGAGCCTCCAAGGACAGTGGAGAGTGCAGCTGCCCTGTAGCTCCAGCCTCAACTGGTTTGTACCCCAAGCTCCTGCAGTGCCGTGCTGGTCCATTCCCCCTTCACACACCCCTGCCTGGGCAGGCGCCCCTGCGGGACCTGGCTGCATCTCCGCTTACGAGGATTTCAGACCTGCACCCTCATTGGGCTTCCTCCAGCCCCGACCCACACCCGCAGCCACACCTCTGGGGCCTCTCCAGCAGCACATCTGAGCCCCACCGGGCCCCACAGGCCGAGGCAGACATGCGCCCCCACCCCAGCCGTGGCCCTGCAACAAGGGCCAGCATTCAGCTGGTGGCAAGGGTCAGGGATCCTTCCGCGACAAGGACCCAGGCAGAGTGTGTGACGAGGATGAGAGTTCATGCTGTACCTGGGGTCAGGTGCAGACCATGGCAGGGGTGGGACTGAGCCCAGGACTGTCTGCTCTGACTCTGTCATCTGTGCAGGCGGGTCCCCTGGCAGCCCTGCAGGGGCTCCTCCCTGCCCCAGGTGCCCCCATGGTGTCCTGGGTGTCGGGGTCCAGGCAGCTGGAGCCTGACAGCACGAACGCTGGGGGGAGCAGGGCTGAGTTCTCTGCCCTGTGCCAAGCACAGACACAGCCAGGTCTCTGTGGCCTCCTCCAGGGGCCAGCCCCCTCCCGGCCTCAGCTCTCCCTCCTCCCTGCCCCTGCCCTCCCCTCAGGCCGCAACGTGAGCCGCAGCTGCACCGAGGAAGGCTGGACACACCTGGAGCCTGGCCCCTACCCCGTTGCCTGTGGCCTGGATGAGAAGGCATTGCGTTTGCAAGAGGTGGGCCTCAGCGCACACCTACCCCACCTGCACAGCACCTGGGCCGCCTGGGCGCCTTTCACCCTTGCCCGCAGATGGCTGCTGTCTGTCTGGGAGCCAGCACTCCCGGGGTCTGCCCTCCTCAAGCCTCCTCCCCCTCCAGGCCTGCCTTTCTAGGGGCTCATCCCCTGGCCTTCCTGAGAATGGCGCACGGGAGGGGGTCCCCCGGGCAGCAGAAGCTGAAGCAGCACCCCCAGACTGGCTTGTGGGAGCCCTGCCCCAGTCCTGTCGGTGACCAGGCAGGCAGATGCCATCACCCGGTCACATCCAGAGTGGAAATGGAGGTGCAGGTCCTGGAAGGAGCCAGCCTCAGATACTCAAAAGCCAGTCAGGGGCAGGGGCAGGGACAGGGCCTGTTGTCCTCAGGCCCAGGACAGGGATCTGCCTCTGCAGCAGGTAGAGCACAGGTGAGGACCCGGGGAGCCAGGTAGTGATATAGATGGGGAGGCTAGAGTATAATTGGGGTCCTCCGTGAGGAGTTCCCCACCGCTTTGGGGTATAAAGGCACGTGTGTCTGTCTATGATGACATCCGCCCCCCCTCAGCCACCCTTCTCGCACAGGGCTGTCACTCCCACAAGGCAGCGGCAATTTCTCAGAGGCCTTTGAAGCCCACTGGGGCCTTAGGCCCCCATTCCCCTGAATCCCTTAACCACTTGCCTCTGCTGGGGCAGGGTGTGGGAGGGAGAGGAAGGAGGGCTTGCCCGGTGACTGCTGCTCTGCCCGTGTGCCCATGGGGAGGCCATCGGGAGAGGGACCAAGCAAGAAGCCCCCGGGGCCCAGCCTTGTTCCCCTAGAAAGGCCATTTTGCCCTCATCCTGCAGCCCCCAGCCCCTGAGCGCCCCGAGTGGGGAATGAGCCCCAGTACTGTCTTTCACACATTCTGTATTTCCTGTGCGCCTCCAGAGAGAGGGCTGCATGTCGGGGTCCCCTGGGGTGCTGAGCCCAGAGCTGCAGAAGGAACCAATGAGCACATGGAATGCGTGAGGTCGTCACCCTTTCCCTCACTGACTTGCCCTTGTGAAGAAGCAAGGACAGAGCGCATCAACCCCACTCCCTCCCTGAGATGCGGTCCTGTCCTGTCCGTGGACACTGGGCTGTCAGGGGGTCAGGGAATTGAAGGGTGCCCCTCAGCTGCTCTTGGGAGCCCAGGGCCTCAGCATCCTTATCTGCCAAGGCAGGGGCACCCCTGCCAATACCCCCTGCGCAAGCCCCCCACCCCCGCTAAATTCTGCCCATCTCCCCCCAGCAGCAGCAGACACTGTTCTACAGTTCTGTGAAGACCGGCTACACCGTCGGCTACAGCCTGTCCCTTGCCGCCCTTCTGGTGGCCACGGCTATCCTGAGCCTGTTCAGGTGAGGCCCAGCCCAAGCAACGGGGCTCAAAGCAGACCTGGAAGTGTCACTCCAATGGTCAAACCCAGACTGCCCCAGGCTTGTCCCGGCCCCCTCCACTGTCTCCCCGCACCCTGGGCAGCACAGTCCCTGCCCACGCCCCCCTGCCAGGCCAGCCTCCCTAGAGGTGGCAGGTGGCCAAGGTGTCCCATCTGCTATAGCCTGGAACCCCCCAGGATGGCCCTGCACCTGGGGCTAGGGACCAGAGGGTGGGGCCTGCACCCTGGAATGAGGCTTCTGGGGCAGGGGCACAGTCGAGCCTGAGGCACGTAGAGGCCCAGCTGCACAGGGGGACGGGGCGCCTGGGAGCAGGCCTGCAGCTCAGGACGGGACCCCCTTCCAGGCAGGGCCTGCACTCTGGAGGCCACGTGCTCCCTAGCACCGCTTGCTCAGAGCATAGGATGACGTTGGCTGAGGTGGGGGCACAACGTCCCTTCAGCCTCCCGGATGTGCCCGCCCCATGCAGGAAGCTCCACTGCACGCGGAACTACATCCACATGAACCTCTTCATATCCTTCATCCTGAGGGCTGCCGCTG